TATGGGAAATGTGATTCTAAATTGAATGTTTGCATACGGCCATGCTAAGATTCAACTCATGTACAGTGTGTTCAATAATTCTTTTAAATCTTTGAAAAACCCACCGTTATCTGACACGTCATGTGCTGTGCCAATTTGAGCTAAATATGAATAACGTCTGTGACAAACGTTTGAGTCCTTGCACTTTTTCAACGACGGTGCAATACACAATAATTAGGAACTGCATGTTAATGAAGCTGATGCAGATTGTGTAATGATCAAGATGTTACTGTATCATTGATATTGTTTATTGGATGTATTTAGGATAACCGGTGATTTCAATAATTCCACCTCAACCGAATCAAATGGACGATTTCAGTGATCATGCATTTTCGGAACAACTCTCTCCGGTCGGTTTTAATGCTTACTGCCCCCTCTCCCTTTATCACACTCCATAAATATGTTGAGAACTCAGGGCGACTCGAATATAAGCAAAATACCTTTAAATTGGCTTCTTCGCGGTGCAGATGTGCATCCGAACAGTATATATGCCATAAGAAGGCAAGCACAGAACAAACACCAACCAATAAAACTGTTGGATTTGTTAACGAGCACATGCGCGGGAAACTTTGATTCTAGAAGAAATTTTTATGATAACCGAGGAGGATCTGGTAAAAAGTGAATTGGTAAAACCGTTTGTTTTAACGAGAAAAATAATGTTGTTCCATGTCTCACACTATGGCATTGGGTTTCTGTGCGAATTCATTAGTCCACACAAGTAGAAATCGTTTATCAAAAACAGTATCAATTTTCTTCAACTCTTCCCCTTTGAACTCTGTTTACATCAACATTAGATGATACGTAATGCGCTTGCTCGCCACGGTTGTTCAACGTACCGAGCTTATTCAGGTGTCAATTGAATCACTGTGTGATACACGACCCCTAGGCAGACTAACTGTTTGGATTTAGGTCGGTTGCACTCTCTTCATCTATCATGGTGAATTTGTGTGATCAATTAGTAGGCAAGAAGAAAAAAATAATAACAACAACAACTATGTGTATATATGCATCTGTTGATACGCACGATTTAGTGCGCAGTGTTTAGTTACATCAGGTGATAATAAAAGCGATGTGGTGAAGACGCATTGACATCATGGTCTTATCTATTGATTCCAAGGTTTGAATGATTTAACTGTAACCACGGCACTATTACTATAGTCAGATAACCGGATGTGAATGGTAAACTGGATCTTAGTATCCGTGAGTTTGAGTCATTCGACACGGACTTACAAAGTTGTTTATCACTACTGTTAACGGACTGCTGTAGTTTTGACCTAACATGGGTCAACACACACGAATAATTGTTGAAACTATTCACGAAGAGGGGGGCAGTGGAGAGGAACAGCAAAATATACGGTCTACCACAAACATACATACAAACAAATCTCGAACACACCAAAGTTCAGCATCTGTCGTGGTTTGCCAAATGATGAGAATAATGATCGATGAGCATTAATAGTGCATGACCTTGGTATGGAACAAACAAACAAACCAGTGCAGTTTATTCCTACAGGTGCGAGGTTTGAAAATTCTCACAACCAACTATCGCTCAGTAACCTGGCTGATGAGGGTAATTTCAGATTGCCAATCGCGTTACTGTGCGAACGGAGGGCATCCAGAACTATTTACACAAAAGATGATGCAATCGACGAACCAACGAGAATGAGCAAACGAGTGTCTGAGTATGTTTAGTGGGAGACAGAATGCACTTCAACCACGGGACATTTCACGTGATGGGTGCGGTAGTCAAAAGGTACTGAACGAGTCACTAATTTGTCCATTGTTTTAAATCAAATTTTGTACGGTATTACTGTGGTCCAGCTGTTGGAATATTGCAAATCCCGAAGGTACTAGTGTCCTCGATGCGTGAGTAGAGGATGTTGTTCGTCCCCAAAACATGTTTTTTCGATAATCTGTGCTAAGCCACAAAATTGCTATCTGAAGTGCGGGCTGGAGGTTGGGATCCCTAATGTCAACTGTTGAATGCAAACTACAAAAAGGACTGTTTCATATTCCTGACGCATTTTGTGTTAGAACGTATCCTAGTTTAATCGGATAACCGAACTAAACCACAGTAATTACACGATGAAGTGAAAGCATTTTAAAATCATACGGAATCTCTCAGAACTCCTCTCTCTTCTAACCGGGTAAAATTAGTTTCACACAGAGGTGGAATGATAACTCACTTATTCTGTTTGATATCAATGATCCCCCCAAGACCGTAACCTAGACGCTGTGTTGGATTCTGAGCGCACAATCGTTTGATCAGTGTGGCCGCCGTTCGAGTGATGTGAAGCGGTGAAAATTCGACAGCATCGATCCCCCGGAGAACGACGTTGTAGATCTTCATTGGATCAGAACCGGTAAAAGGAGGGCTGTAATAAATGAACACGGATAGACAATATTAGGTGGTTGCGTCACTTGCAGTACTGTAGCTGGTGGTGTTCCTGTGGATGTTGAGGATGTAAGTGGTAGTGGTGGTGATGTTAATTCAGATAGTATCGTACGGTTGATATCTTATCGCATATGGGCGTATTGCTATCACTTGAATGAAACAAACGGAATACAAGGATAAAATAAGTTATCCCCAAAGTGATTGCCACGATAAAGAATGCATTTCGTGCAGCCAAATTGCTTGTCTCATGCACATCCAGTGGAATCCCTTGTTTGCAACTCAGTGACAAGATCCCAATCTCTGCATTCACGCTTTGTGTACGTGCTTCTGTAAAGTATCGCACATGGGCCGTACGAACAAGCGCGAGTTCAGGAACACCACTGGAATTGGCGGAACCCTGGTGATGCTAAAACTCAAGCCATGCTCGGGGTCACCGAGGTAAGCTGCCTGAAAACCGTACCCCATCCACCAATAAGAGGGTTTAATTGATTTACCCTCCTTCCAATTCCTGCACGTAACAACGGGATGTTCGTTGCGCGTAGGCAAAATGAAAAAGATTAGATGAACTGCCCAGTGGTTGAGTGGGTAGTACAGGTATTGATCGAACTCACGCTACACGTGACTTTTGTCAGATCTCTTCCTCCCAATGCCCAGCTTTTTGAGTCTCACTCATGGATATGAATATGGTATTACCCTAACGATTGAAAATCGATTATTATAGCCCGGGCAAACTGAATTCTATTTCACTTCGTTTGCCGAGTTTGGAAATTTACTTGCGAACGTTCCATCACCATCAGAGGTGAAATCCTCAGAGGCCCTCCCCTCTGAGGTCAAGTGGATAACTGCATAATCACGATTTCTTGTGCAACTATCAAACTGATGACCATTAGCGATTCGACTCATGTTGTATCCCATGTTTTATTTAAATGGGTCAAAGGAAAGGATATATCTAAGATAAAAGGGACGAAATAGGCGAACAGAGATGGGGGGGGTCTAGAGTGGGTGAAGCGTAAGATGCACACCTACCAGAACAACTAGAACAATCCTTACTCGAATCACTCACCTTCCAGTTAGTAGTTCGTAGATGAGGATACCCAGTGACCAATAATCGGCTGAATGATCATGTCCCTTGTTCAAAATAATCTCGGGTGCCACGTACTCAGGTGTGCCACAAAATGTCCAAGTCTTTTTGTTCAAACCAATTCGTTTGGCAAACCCGAAATCGCACTGAATGGGAATTAAGTGGTTTGTTACGTTTATGAATAAATATTTAAAAAATTAAAACCTCTCTCTGAGGCGGATAAAACCGGAAAAACTTAATAAAGGACCTGTTGTGCGTATCCAATACTGCCCGTGATCGGGATGCCCTCCAGTGGTTACGGGAACATGGTTCAAGCCAAAAGGTTATCGCGATGCACCTCGTTGAGATAAAAATCTGTGCATCAATAAGCGCTACCAACCGATGTGGAAAAGACGCTATCATTGTCATACGTGCAACTCATTTCCACATCTACATGTACGCCATTCGTGATTTTATGAACCAAGTGTGACAAAAAAACAACAACAACCAAAAAAACAAGTGTTCCACATCTCGTTTGATATAACAAGCGTATCACCATCGGTTGTGAGCACTTTGTTGTCCACATGGGTTATCTGTTAAGTTTTGTGCACATGTGGATATTTTCACATACTGTTTTGGTTGCCAAACTTGCATTGATTGGATTCACAATTCGGAACAAAGTAAAACGCATTCTATAAATGTAACTTAACTCAGGGATACTGTGGTGCGATTCCAATAGTGTAAACCATTCATTCTACCGAATGCATGGGCATTGGGCCCTTGCGTTTGGAAGCTTATCTCATGCAAATTCAAACACACGCAGGCACACACACACACCAAACATTTCAAGTTGTTCTGCGTTTGTACGTATGTGTACCTCGCCTCCGGTACTTGACTCGTTCCATCACAATGGTAAATGAGCTTCAGTTAGATGAATTTATGACACGCAGAGCCAAAATAACGGGGCTTATCTCCATTGGATTTAGTTTATTGTTTCCCGACTTATACCTTCAAGTCGAGGATAGAAAATGTTACTTGTATTCTACAGATCCTACCTTCAATGCGACGGCTGATTCGTTTTGACCTCTATTCGAGTATGATAGTACCTGGGACCCACGAATTTCTGTGAATAAACAGTAAGCATATGTTAATCATCACTAAGATGAGGACTGTCACTCGATAACTATTGATGTTATGTATTTCTGCGATCTGTTTCACTTTGAGATACCAGACATGTGTCCAATTTCAGTTTGAAGGGATTCAGACCTAATTGTTCTGATTTATGAATTCGACACGAAACCTGGTCGAGGTAATTCCCTGATGTTACTCTAAAAACATGAGTCTTAAGCACCATTCAAATATTCCCACATTACTTTCCCTGATTTTCGACTGTACATATATCTCAAAACGTCAATTTTTCTGTTTTGTCTAAAGCGCATTCAATGCCCAGTACCTTTCCGTAGTGTGTGAATTGACTTCAGTAACGAAAGTGCAATGTTTCACGAAATCGTCTTTGAGTACCGTTCGGTTTCTGATCCGGATCTCAACCGGGTGCATACCAGTTAGTCGAACCCAATCCGAAAGACGAGCTACAATTCATTGAGAGCCGTTGTTTGTCGCGTTTGAAAATCTCACGCTCATAAGACGCAATGCACTCATCCACTATCCCGGATATGCCCGGATATCCTGTAACCAATTCCCAAGACTGTTCTCTACAGATTTTAACTGGGAAGTCTCCAGCTTCCATAGATGAACTATACCATTTTAAGATAACTTTGGGAAACTATAATTTTCATTTGCGAAACCGTCATTTGGAATTGAGAAACTATCACTTAGACTTGAGAAAGAAACGCTGTGGTTGGATCCGCCTCCGTTCAGCGCACCTCATTGGTCAATTGTTCACACATTTTTTCACCCCCGGGTTGACCGCCTGTCTTCCCAGGCTCTTTCTGTGCTGAAATGAGGCCGACCCCAGTCGTGCAACTTGTCGAGCTCTGTGACGGATGTCGAGTCGGTGGGTCGGTGAAGCCACGCTATTTGGCTGTGACAACCAAGTGGGACGCCACTCGCTATGCACGAAGGATGACACACTGTGTCGTGCCCACTACAGTTAAAGTACATTTGTTCGTAGTTGCTCTAACATTGACGATAGCTCAGTTATCAAAGCTGATCACACTAACCAAGGCCGAGTTTTGTGTTTACGGTACAATCCGAGCTATGTACGAGAATAATCGGTCTATTGCAATAACAATAATTGTTCAGTGGGTGAGGTTGGAGTTCTTGGGGTGAACTTGGGTGAATGGGCTGGCTGTCCTCAATGGCCTAGCAACCAAACCTTACGTGCAGCTCGCCCATTCCTGGCTCAACCCACAGAACCGAACGAAACAGAACGCAGTCGATCTGTTTGGTAGACAGGGTTACTCGTTTTCCGAATAGGTATTGTTGCTTAAGAAGCATCGACAGATGACATTTTTTATTACACAATGTGAATTACAGTAAAATTCCCAAGGACAAATGGTATACTGTAAAAGGGACAGTAGGGGAACATTCACGTAAGATCCAGTTTATTGGTTCTGCGTTTAAAAAGTGTAAGATAAAGGTTTATAGGAAAAGGTGTACCAATGGGGGGTGTATTTTTTAAATGATTTTTATTATGTCAGGACGTGTAAATGCAACACAATGTACCGAGGATCTTTCGTTATAGCCATCTATTTATAACTAGGCTATTGCAAGTTGAAATGGATTTTCAAACTGAGGGTGATGTTGCACGAGTTCGGTCAACACCTGTATATGAGATGTGCCTAATGGTTTGACAATACGGGCACATCGTTTGAAACCCTCTCCAAGCAGCGTGTGGTGCACCATGCAAACACCACACCTAATTTCTTAATCAAACTTGGTAATATCAAAATTTGTAGAAAATAAAAAGAAATGTTTCAACAGTCGTTGACCTCAGGGTGTATTACGATACTTTTTGATCTAATTCGTCTGCAGTGACATGACCAAAGCTTTCTGATCATAAATCGCGACTAAGGGATTGCCGGTTTTGACCAAAGCGTGATAGGAAGTAATGTAGATAGGTGATGATGGATTCACTGCACAAGATAGTGTGTGTCTATAGGTTAAGGTTGTGAGCTAGATAGACGATAATGGATGTAAAATGAGCTTGAAGTGCTGTTTACACAAAGTGAGCATGGCCAATTGTCTTCTGGCCATCGTAATTTACCTGTTTGATGAAATTAATGAAACAAATTACTGGATCGAGGCAGAAGAGCTGAAAATCTTTTTCGAATAGTCCCCTTAGGGAGGGTGGGGAATTTATGAGAGCGAATGGGTAAAACTGAGAAACAAAGCGGTCACTTTCTTTGTGAGAAAATAACAGTGCAGTGAACACACTACAAGCGAGCAAAATTTAATTCCGGAATCATCTCACTGCATCTGAGCTGTTGCTTACTGCAGAATATAAAACAGTTTATATATCATAGATGTTGATAATCTTGGTAGTCTTTCCCTCGAACTTTCTTCCTTTCCAATCCCCTAGAAACGCCGTGATTTTTTATTAAGTTTTAGTTTTAAATATTTTCGAAAGTACAGAGGTGAGGGAAATGGGTCGGTAATTGGTCCGGTTGGAAAGGTCACCACTTCGGGAATTGAAAAATCACGGCGTAGCCAAAAAACCACGCAGCCTGAATGATCAATCTGAAATGAAATCATTATTGTCCAGTTGAACTTAGACAATAGTCCTGATAAGTTTTCCACCCAATCTCATGAAGGTGAATATTTGAAATGACTGATTCCTTCTCCTTTTGCTTCTTTTGTTGAATATGGCATTGTACAAATGCCTTTTTCGGAAAAGAGAAGTAATCGATAAAAGGACTGCTATCTAATGATAAGAAAATGCAGCAGATTAGACGGTGATGGTTGGATTCAAACGCGTGACCCGCAGAATGACAAGTCGGTGAGCTTAAGCGCTTAAGCGCAGCTGTCTACAACAGTGTCATTCTAGCGCATATCTATTAAAGTGCTTCAGATTGCAGTTTTATTTTAGTTTTTCATCATTTCATGAGCAGTTCAGCGGAAATGGAAATGTGTTCTTTTATCGGGGTTAACTCTATACCGGAGGTTTTTTTTAACCAGGTGAGTATGAGATTTTCAGATATATTCACTGAAACAAGAATGGATTGAGGTTGAGTTTATTGTTTTTGTTGCCTTTCAAGTAAGAGATCTCGCGTACATAACTGCGGTAGAAACTCACTAATTTCACATATCCTTTTTCGTCCAGTAGAAGATTTTCTGGTTTCAAATCTCGATAGATGATTCCTTGTGTGTGCAGATACGTGAAGGCTTCAAGGACACAGGCGACCACGAATCGTGTGACCACATCGTTGAATCGACCACTGAAATCAGGGAACAGAATAGGAAGCAAAATCAATTTGTTTTCTATGCTCAATCCGGGTGAATCAATCAATCAATCAATCAATCAATCAATTTGAGAAGCTAAGCAAATAATACGGAACTGGTTCACACGGGAATGATGGAACTGGCCATTCATTCCATGACAAAATTGTGGTACAGATTACGGTGTTGCTGTTTGTGGTGGAGTTGTACCTGGCAATGTTAATGAAGTTAGTATTGTCATCGGTGGTAACGGCGATAGATTCAGAAGTGGGTTGCTGTCACAGGACTAATTTCCATTAAAAGATTATTGATTAAGAAATATAGCAGTAGGATTAGTGCCATGAATAACATGTATATGAAGCACAAAGAGTGGCACTACAGGTAAATATGTCTCTCGTGGTGAGCTATCTCCAGATAACAAAACAAACCTTCAAACNNNCCTTCAAACTCCGCTCGATGCTGATGCATTTCTCAGAAACGTGCAAAATATGAGATGCATGAGGTCAGGGTCATCCATTTCATTGTTCCGGAGAAACGTTAGAGCAGTTCTCCTTCACGAGATTACAATGTACTAAAAATTAATAGGGCTTGCTTAAGTA